ATAAATCTTTATTGTCTTATGTTAGAATTATTGAGTAAAGTATATACTTGACTTCACATAAAGTTAGGTATCGAACCAACAGATCTACACAAATAGAAGTATCCATAAAATCATCTTAATATGCCGAACGACAGTAAAAAAATTTGAAACAAAATTTTTACTAGTTTCTCTGTATTTGAGTATCGCACAAACTTGTCGACTAAATATTACGAAAAGACATACAGCTAAATTTTTAAATTAGATTATTATTTAAAACTTTTGAGGATGTTAGAATCAAATTGTTGCAGAGTTTCTTGTCATTTAGCATTAATTCACTACTAGATCAGAGCCAGATATTAATGTGAATTTTGTGGAGTAGTATTTCAGTAGATTAATGTTTATACATAACATACTATATCAGCGGGTACATTTTTAGTTTTCATTAAAAATTTTCATATTTTCAAAGAACAACTTCATATTTTCGACAGTATGTTGATTAAAACTTAAGAAAGTATACAACATTCAACGAATAATAATTAAAATAGTTGAGATCATGAGTTAATTGAAGCTAGACCACCATGGAAAACCTGGAATTACCGGACGGCCGTTTCGTCTTATTGTAGGACTGATCAGCAGTGCGTATCCACGATCCCGCCTCACGGGACTTGAACCCAGAACCTATCAGTCTCGCACTCGAACACTTCACCACTGAGCTGGTCAGTATTCAATGATTTTAATGCCTAACTTCAACTAATCTGAGAAATTGAGCAATATATCCACCATTGTTATCAGTGAGTTACTGTCTCACAACAGACTTGGTTGAACTCCACTGGTCACTCGTTCTCACCAGAACTCCAGGATATAAATCTTGAAGCCAGTTACTAGTGAGTATATGTTGATGAATATCAGAAGGGGTCTTGTGGTGATTGTAGTCGTTTCAATAATTGAAATCATGTGGTAATTGTAGCTAGAATAATAATTAAAATTGGATACAGTATATAACTGTTTAACAATACACCTCAATATAATATGAACTAACGTGTAGGATTACAAATTGTCGTTTTTTTTCAGAAATTACTTAAATGTTTTTACGAAACCTCAAAAGATTTGTCATTTTTTTCTTACTATGACAGATTACTTTGATACTATTTTGTTATGATGACATTTATGAAATATATAATACTGATAATAAGTTTTATTTGCTTATATATTTACATTTAAACAAAATTCTAAAATGAATCATTTAGTCATGATCATATATATAAAGTAGTATAATATAAAGTAGTCATAGTTGATTTCGGTCAAATCACTATTAATAATTATAACATTGTTTGATATAGACAAATTCTTGTGATTTAAGACTATATCGAGGCAATCCGCACAGGATGCACATATGTCAACATGAAACTGATCAATTGCAGTCTGAAATAAGAATGGAAGATACAAGAAAAACAATATCAAGTGAATTGAGACAAATACTTGCAGTAAAATTCCTAGACTTATTCAGTGAATAAATGAAACATAAAGGGAAGAAATGAAATAATGATTAATTGTTAACAAATTATTTCATTAACTTAAACTCTGTTTCACTAAAAAAAATATTTTCAAATTAGAACTAAGTAGAGAGCGCGAAAATGTGTAATTTGAAATTGGTTATTTAATGACAAGACGTAATTATGTCTGATATTCATCAAAATGGTAATGAAATTTCTTTGTAAATTGTCTACCTTTTCTCAAGGTCACATTAAAAAGGTACATTGAAATAAGTAATCTTGAACATATTATTAACCTTGTATGGAGAACCTAGTAATTTCACAGACTAATTTACATTCTTGTAAATGTCATATGTTCTGATGAAGTAAATGATCATAATTTTTTCCCCCACAAATTAATGAATTTTGCAAAATGATTAACGTACTAATAATGGTTGTTTATTTTTCACAGGGGTGTATTACATAATATAACCAAATGCTTATCTATAGGAATACTGATTACATCAAATCCTACCCAATCATATAAATGAAACGATAGTTGAAATTGTAATAATTAATATTTCTGATCGTCAAACTAAGTTAGGACTCTAGCACTTATTTATTGTTTCATTGTGCCAGTTACAATGGTTGCTATCTGATATCAACTTTTCATTCTAACAAATACTGAAGTGTGCGGTGAAAATGAAACCCGAAAAATATTTACTAAGACTCAGTAGTTTAAACATTTAAGTATGGGATAGAGTATGTATTGCATTTTAATTATGTATGTGACAGAAACTCATTTCCCAGATAGGTGTATTAACATATGTAGAAGCTCAAAATCTCAGTACGTTTCAAATTAAGACAAAAACTTTATAGATCGTAAAAATAAATGTTGCTGGTTTTATAAACTTACACAAAAACCATTTCAACCCATATGTGATATGACAGATTTTTAATACGATGTGTTTATTCATCTGAAAACCTATTATCTATGGGTGTATAACATGAAAACCTGAACATTATAACGCCTTACATAAGCCCTTGCTACATCAACTTTTATATGAGATATAGAAAATTATTGCTCATCAGTACTTTGGACAGTTCTTTCCTCTTCTTATTATTTAGTTTTCTTTTAAAGTTTATCAAGTGGAACCTAAAACGTTTTCCTTTTTAATTCAAAGTAGGTGTTTCATTTACATGGTCAATTCCTATTGAATACTGACATATTTAACAGTTGTATAAACAATCTATCTTATTTGTCCTACTTGATACTATCAGTTACCTTCAACTAAAAAGCAGACAAAAAATAAGTTAGACGATGAATGATAATTATTTTTTGAATATCAAATTTTTTTATGATTAACTATGATGAGTGGTAATGCCAATAATATTTATGCTACATAAAATAACTGAATAAGCTTCTGATAAATAAATAATATTAAACATTGAATTCACCAATCGACTTAAGCTAGATCACCATTGAAAAGTTGGAACCACTGGACAACCGTTTCGTCGTAGTATGGGACTCCTTAATAGTGAACATCTATGATCTCATACGTGGAACTCGAACTCAGCACCTTCAGTCTCGTGTGGGAACATCTAGACCGCTGGTCAGACATTCATTGATGTTATTGTCTAATTACAATCGATTCATTATCTTTCGCAACCATTCATCCATTGTCTGAATTGGATAACTATTTCCACCTGACTCCTGAGTGCAGAGTCGTGGGTATTCATTGCTAAACAGTCCCATACTAGGACGAAACGGTTGTCCAATGCTTCCAGATTTTCAGTAGTTGTCTAGCTTCAATTGACTCATGAATTTAACTATTAAAATGACTACAATCTCCATAAATCCCCATACTGATAATAATTAATACTCAAAGTTAACTAGGAATTTCGATCTGATTCGAAGAGTTATACATATACAACTCTTTACGTTAACTATCATTATTAGCTAATCATAATTCTAAGTGATTTACATTGATTTCTATGAAAAGAAAAAACTATAATGTAGAATTTAAAAAAAATTGCAAATACTTTTTTCACAGATTGAAATCATGAGTTCCATACTAGGACGGAACGGCCGTCCAGTGCTTCCAGGTTTTCCATGGTGGTCTAGCTTCAATTGACTCATGATTTCAATCTGTGAAATTTTTAAAATCTCCACAAACCACTTCCGAAAATACTTTTTTGTATTATTTTCCATAATTTGATTGACTTGTTTATTTAACTAGCAAAAATTACATCATTTTTATAAAACGCCACCTATGTTTTGTTGTTGTTGTTGTTGTCATTGTTGTTATCGTTGCTGTTGTTGTTGTTGCTGTTGTTTTGATACCAACATATCATATATCTTAGTCAGTCCAAAAATAACATGTGAATTATGAAATTCCTATTTAATAAACATAGAAATTTTATCATGTTATTTTATATAAATTTTTTGGGTGTATATTATCTGTAATTAAAACAACAAAAAATGTATATTTGAGTTTATGCCAAATGTAAAATAAAACTTATTGAGAAAAATTATACTAAAGTAAAGATTTGGAAGGAAAAAACAAACAGAAATCTAATTTCACACTTTATAGTTCTTAAATTAATCCATTATCTTTGTTGTTATTTATGCCTAATTATTAGATCTTTCAAATTCACTATGATATGAATTTATATAAATAAATGGATTGATTAGTTAGTTGAAGCTAGACCATGTTGGAAAACCTGGAAGAACTGAACAGTTGTTTCATTCTAGTTTGAGACTCCACGACAGTGCTCACCCACGATCCTGACTTGCTGGATTCGAACCCAGGATATATCAGTCTCGTGCGCGAACACTTCACCTCTAGACCACTGAGCTGGTCAGCATTCAATGGTTTTTAATGTCTAACTTCAACTAATCTACGAAACTGAGCAACACATTCACCATTGTTATCAGTGAATTACTATCACACAACAGACCTGGTTGAACCCCACTTGTTACTGGTTCTCACTAGAACTTCCAGGTTTTCCCATGATTGTCTAGCTTCAATTGACTCATGAATTCAACTATTAAATTACTAAAATTTTCACAAAACCCTATTTTTATAACTAAATAAATTTATGCATAAACCTTTTTTATTATATTAATTACAAACTATTTACAAAGTCCTGATGTATTCGTTATTTAATATACGTGTTTGGTTTTTTTCCAGCTTATTAAAACATTGATTTGTTAGAAAGCTAAGAGTTCGTTTGATTTACAATTTTCTTTGTAACTATCAAGAATGAGCTAGGTAGTACTTATTAATGATTCTTTTTTTAAAAAACTATTAACCGTAGATACATAAATATTTGTGTTGTGATTTTGACGGAGTTTTGTTCTCTGAGCTGGATGGTTTGGTCGTTCAGAAGAAAGATGAAAGCTTCACGATTAAACCATCCAGCTCAGAGAACAAAACTCCATCAAAATCATCCATCTGAACTACAGATCTTCTCCACCATTTATGTATTGTAAGAAAAGAGTTTATGAGATTGTTCAGTGATATTTTTTATTTTTTTACCTTTAGAATGAATAACAATAATCAATTAGATAATTCATTGAATGAACCAACAACTAATTTAGAACAGATATCACCTATTCCAATAAATTCATTTCCAGTTGATGGAAGAAATGAATGTAATCCAATCAAAATATGTAATGAATACTATGATAATAAGAAATTCATCACTTCATCTGAATTTATCCATAATAACAATTATCATCTTATGCATAATCCAAATAACAAAATCAATAATAATAATAATAATAGTATCCTTGATAATACTACTCATGATAATTTAGTAGTTAAACAATCATTATTATCTAAACAAAATGAAAATACAAAGAAAACAAATCATTTTGTTAATTATTTATTAGAAAATAATGAATTCAATCAAACTAATATTAATGTGAATCAAGATAAAAATGATAATAAAAATTTAATATTATTTGACATGATGAATACATCATTGAATTCACCATCTTCATCAATTTCATCCAAATCCGATCTAGATAATCATAATAATAAAAATTCAAATGATTATTTATCAAGAAAAAAATTACAACAAAATGTTTCATTCAAAATACAATCTATTCAAGGTAATATAAGTTTATTTAGTAGACGAATAGGACGAAACGATTGTTCTGGATTCTACTGTTAACCACTAACCATCTTTATTTATGTTATCGTAAAGAAAATTTGAGAAATTTAGTGCTAAATCATTTCACTGATTATTGGAAATAGTTTTTTTTGTTGAAGTTTGCTTTCATTTCAAGTTTCATTAGAAATATGAGTAAAATCTAGTGAATTCGTAAAAATATATATAATCCCTTCTTAAATTGTTCTTCTTGTTACTTGAAGCTTACTTTCTTACGCCTATTACTCCCAATGGAGCATAGGCCGTCGACTAATATTCTCCAACCCACTTTATCGTGGGCCTTCCTTTTTAGTTCTCATTCTTTCATATCTGTCTCCATTTCTCGACGTAGTGTGTTTTTTGGTTTTTCTATTTTCATTTGGTCTTGAGGATTCAGAGTGAGGGCTTGCCTTGCGGCGCAGTTAGGTGATTTCTTCTATGTGTGCCCTATCCACTTTCAGCGCCTTTCCTGATTTCTTCCTCCGTTTATGTGTTCATTAATAAGTATATCACCAGTGATAATAGTAAGATGAAGTGCTCAAAATTACATATAGCCTAGTCCTCGTTCATTTTATCATCAAGATTTTGATGGACTTTTGTTCTCTGAGCTGGATGGTTTCGTCGTGGAGCTTTCATCGTTCTTCTGAACGACATCATCAGCACAAACTTCAGATAGAAGTGAAGTGTTCGAATTTCTCCATATGCGTTTCACAGCTTGTTCTGTACACCTCGACGTTGACTGGTTCTTATTGACCTTAAATTATCAAGTTTAGACTATTAATTGAAACTATGGCAAGATAAGAAACATACATAAACAAACACATAAGGTTCATTATTTCATAATTGATTCTACTACGCATACAACGACTCATTCGTGAAACACTGTCAGTGAATATTTCTTACTGTTTTTATCCAATATTTAAAGCAAAACTGAATTATAAATGGAATTAAACCATATTTTCTGATAATTAAGTAAATATTCACCTTGTATCTAATTTCTACTTGATTTGTGTGTGGGCTGTGATACTGCCTGAGTGCCCAGACCGAATTAAGTGGTTTTCTCAGGAGGCCAGGCCTGGAGCCACAAGGAAATGGAGCAACGTCAGGAGATGCAGTCCCATGGTAGCTAGTGACCAATAACTGTTTCATACGCCATTTGTTCCTCCAGGATCCTGGAGCCTATGTGCACCATTAGTTTGGAATCAGAGTTTTCTAACTCCTCTAGCCACCTAGAGGATCCTCCATATCCACCAAACCGGTTAAAGCATCGAACATTCGCTTTTCGTCCTCTCAATTTCGTAGACAACACTTCTGCCGCGAGAAGGCAGTGAATAAGACTTGTATGGCATATATGTATACGGTGCCCCTTTGTACCAATATTTGTGTATTCAAATAAATAAATAATCTAATTTATTTATAAATATTACTTTATTCAAAGCAATTTCAATCATTTCATTGAATAACCAAAAATGAGATTGTAAGATCTGTTAATTAACTAATTATCTTCTCAAAATAATGATTCCCCATATTAATCACGTTTAAAAACGAAATCATCTTACTAAAACAATGAAAAATAAGCATGTATACATTACTTCACTTACTGTGTTCATACAAATACTAAGTGTTAAATAGCAATCAGTGCTGTTTTAAAATCGTCATCATTTGAATAATACTTCGAACTTTGGTTTGAAAATGATTTTCAATTATTCATTACTAACTGAAAGTAAAAAGCGGATTTCTGAGATCACAATAAACTTTATCCGAACCATATTAAATAAAATAAACGCAAACAACCCATATTTTAACTCGAAATAAATCTATAATTATTCATTTAATTCAGTGATTACTTATATAGTTGAGTTTATGCATCAATTCAAACTAGAAAACGATGGAAAACCTGGAAGCACTGGATAGCCGTTTCGTTCTAATATGGGACGCCTCAGCAACACTCACCTACGATCTCGCGTACGAAGGCCTAACCTCTAGATTACGGAGCTGACCGGCACCTAACGGTGTTAATGTCTAACTTCAACCGATTTCGTGGATTGGTGGTCTAGCTTTAATTGATTCATGAACTCAACTATTAAATACTAAAGTCCCCACAAAAAACCCCTCTGATTTCATATATATTAAAAGTTGAAAGTTTCATTAAATCGACTTTTTAAAAATCAGAAATGCTTACTATAAATAAACCGTAACATATAATCAAATATTTATTTGACATTAGATATTTTAAGCCATTAAAAAGGCGATTAGTGATGTTTTTAGGTTGTAAGTTTACAATTATACTGAAGAGCGGGTATTTTGTGTTTTAGACTGGTAACTATTCAAAAAATTGTTTACAAACGTTTGGTAACAAAAATATAGCCTTTCATCTTTTTATTTCAGGGGGTAAGAAAGATCGAAATACTGAGGGTAGATGTCCAATAAGAGATTGTGATGGAACTGGGCATGCTACTGGGTTGTATTCATACCACAGAAGGTCAGTGCTTTCAGAGTGTTCATTGATTTCAAAGTATGGTAAACTGTAATTCTTTAAAAAAATATTAATTAACTTGTTAACCTGATTTCAGTTGATTATTACATAGACCTCAAATGAACCTCATTTTAAACAAGGATAAGAACTGTGGCTGAATCATATCATTAATGACAATATTACAAGCCTGGTCCTAAGTCAAGCGAGATTTTAGACCAACTTACTGATATATAAAATGTTATGCTTTAAGGTCAAAAATGTAAACGTTTGTTGATAGAAACAATAGTAAACAATTTTACAAAACTAGGATTTATTGCAATATTAATATCGTACTTAAGATTCTCATAATATGCTCTTAATCCCTTAGATACTTATGTATTAATAATATTACAATACTATTTGAACGAACTGTGTTAGTTCTGGGATACAGACAGTAAGTCATTCTTCTATAATCAGTTAATCATCACCTCAGTAGGTGGAAAAATTCACCACTAATTTAATAATTAGATAGTATCAGACTAAGCAATAAGTAATTAGTGATACATTTTATGTAGTTCATTTCGACTGTCTATAAAAAGTTGTTTAATTATGTTCAGTTAGATGATTATTGAAGTACTCATTTGATTAATATTTACTTGCCACGTAATAATTTCAGAACCAGTCATTTAGTGATCCCAAATTTCGATTATTCAATTCCAATCTCCGTAAAATTAATTAACTGTCTTAATAAAATCACTGAAGTGAATGAAAATGTTTAGGATACAATATAATATCGAAATGTCAGTAAATCATCAATGTAGTGAGTATTGCCTAATATAATAAAAACTGCAGCAGAAGAACTTATCATGAAATTTAAAAATATAGTTATTATGAAGTAATTGTGGAAATTATATAATTGTATACCACAAACTAATCTCGGCGATGTAACCACTAAAAACGAGGGAGAAGTGGACAGCTCTTCGTTCTGGTTCGATACCACTCAGAAACATGTATCTTAAAACTCCCAGAAACTATGACTGTCATTACGAACGTTTAAAATTTAGACTACTGAGCTAGTTTCCAATGGTTTGTATTTTTAATTTCAACCAATTCGCGGTGCTGTGCAAATATCGAATATAATTAGTAGGTACGGACTAAAACTTATCCTAGTCGAACTCCACCGGTCAAGGGTTCTTACTGTAACTCCAGTAATTACATTTTGAACTCAGTCGCTAGTGAGTACGTGATTACTAGATAATGTCTGGTTTGTCTATATTTCGGAATTTTGTAGTTAATATCACGGACTAATTATTGATCGGGTCATGGATGTTCACAACTGAGGAGTCCCAATCCATAAAGAAATAGCTTTTCAGTGTTTCTTCGTTTGCAATAGTTGTTTCGCTTAAGTCTGTAAGTGATATCAACTACAAAAATAGAAGTAATTCAATAAGACCTGTCATCACCATGAAACTAATACGAATAATAATGCGTTGAAAATAGGTAGAGCTCACGATTTTTTATACAAGACGAACAAATTCGCATTTCTTTTGAAATTTTAGATAAACATGGATAATTTCGGTCTATTAGTTACGGAATGATCCATTTTGTTTTTCATTATTTACACAATATCTACAAAATTTAGGGGTCAGTTATCATTTCCAAAAAGACGTTCAAAAATGTTTGATTTAGAATTTAACGATGGAATGTATTATAGTTACCTGATAAGTGGTCGTCAATATATATTCAATATGAAGACAATAATTTAACTGGATAAATGACTAAACTTAATGACGGAACAAAACCTAACATTTATCTTTTGTGAACATGACTGGAATTCAAACGATAATGAAACGGAATGACATAAGTCTTCTGAAACAACTCACTGTCTAAATAAATGAACTTCATCACTTATTAATAAACTTTATAATCATTTAATAACCATACAAATTAATATAACTTTATACTTTTATTCTATTCCTTTTAGTGTTTCTGGTTGTCCACGAAAGGATAGAGCTAGTGTAGCAGGTAAACAATTGACTATTGTATAAATTAATTAAATTTATCAAATATATAACATTTCGCTGAATTCATGAACCAATCAACGAAATTCAACAATCTCAAAGAGTATTTAGGCTCTAATAATAATTGGAAACAAAATAAATTGATTTCGAGAGAACAATGAGAAGACGGAGTTGATCTGAAAAATGTGATGTATTTGTGTTATAGATTTCGAACATCACATTTTTCAGATCAACTCCGTCTTCTCATTGTTCTATCGAAATTTATAAAATGGACTAATTGCTTTAAAATTAAATGAGTAACAATTAGGTTTATTTAATAATCTAATCAGATTATTTAATGCAACGAAATTTGTGTGGTGGTTTGTGCTACTTATATCGAAATAAATAGTATATAAGCTAGTCAAGAATATAATGTCTGGAAGCAGAAGGTCGAGAAGATCGATAAGGAAAGAACAGCAGCATAAAGCAATTGATATGAATATGTAGGAATAACAAAGTTGAAACGATTGACTGATATTTGCGTATGGTTCTCAGATTTCACTAAGATGTTCTGTAATTTTGTGTCGATTGTCCCCACTTGTGTTCTCGCTCACTACACTTATTAGCTCATATATTATGATGAAAATATGAGTAAAAATATATTCTACAACTGTTTATTTTATAAATTTCACACTGTATTACCAAAATTCATTTTAGGCAGTTTGTCAACTTACACAAAAACAGAAATATCGTTTCATTCATATGAAAATTTTGAGAAACTACTTATTTTATATATTCATTGTAATGTATCTGTAGTAATATTCAGCACAAAAGTCCGCTGTATTTCCTTTATACTATAAAGAATAATGAAGATTACCTAAAGTGAAGCCAATAAACTGAAACTCTAGAGATGTTCCAAACTTTCAACAACAACAACAACAAAAAGTAACATTTATTCGATAATCATTTGTTTATAATGGTTCAACAACTGTAGCTAATTCAATAATGAAAATTAAATTTAAATATAGAAACTTTTATCGCCTCAAATATTATTATGCTAGCATTTAAGAAAAAATCCATCTACATATCAATACAACTTTCCTAATATAAATCAGTCAACATCTAGTTTATTAACTTATCTAGTTTGATACAGATGTTTTCTAGTGGAAACCTTAAATAAATAATAATATTAACAACAAATTGGCATACAAACTAGGCTAAATCTGTCATAATTCGGCCTAGTTTAAATAGTCACACACTGAGAAATCTTATATATATATACAGCCAATTTGACAGTAACTACCAATTTTTTAAACAAATTTCTTAAATATCTAAAATGAAATAAAATTACCATGAACTAACTGACTACTAATATTATATCCTAATAGAATGAATATTGTAAAATGAAGTCTTATACATTTAGCTAAACATCGTGATAAATATATGCACCTGTTAATACTACTATTTCATATATTTGTATAATATAAATGGTAGGAGTTTAGATTAACATATATTTGTTGTAGAATTACTTGCATAATGACATATTCCTTCTTTCTTTAATATAAAGTGAATAGTTTCTCCTTTGTTTTAATCTTTCTTGTTATTTGTATATATATTACCACATTTGGCAATATGAAACCTCTTTCTAAAAATGGTAAACAGAACCGAGCAAATATCTCTATTTTTCTTAATAGTTATTAAGAAAACTAATCGGAAAGCTTTTGGAGAACAAAAAAAAAAAGATACTAAGCGAAATTTTTTGTTCATTTTTTCAAATTAGGAAGATAATTGGAAAATTGGACACGCGACTTCATTTCATCTCTAATCAGTGAACTAGTCTTTAAATTAGCTTTAATTAAACATTCTTTCTTGTGTGTGTGTGTGTTTTATGTGGATACCTGTTAGTATATTTAGTGTGATTTTTCCTTTGCTTTAAAAAAAACCATACTGATAAGATTTGATTTTTTTGTTTTAACATATTCAAATGTGTACACTAATCATAAAGATAATAAGTAGTATGCAAGTAGATTAAACATATATGAAACTTAATAACTAATTTGAAAAACCACGTGTATACTTAGTCCTTAGTTAAGAGAGAAAAGAAAGTAAGAAACCAATGTTGTTCAAAATACAAAATATTAAGGAATTCACAATCTTATCACAATTCTGTAGAATAGTACCACATGTTGTATAGTTATGAATCAAATATATATATGATACTCGATAGAAAATTTATTCATACATCTGTGTAATATTTGTATGCGTGTATAGATGTGTTCTTCACTTAATATTCGTTATACCAATTCAATATTATCATAATACATAATAATAACCAGAAGAATATCCACATATGTTATAGTAGGATAAGATAACGTTTGAAAAAGTAATCTTTATAGCAAAATCAAGTTAGGGGACCATGAAAAATTAGTACTTTTTTTAAAAGAATATTCTAACCAATCTATCTTTAAACTTATCTTCTGTTAATGAGGCAAGAAGAATAAACATATAATAAATAATAAACTAATTCATGAGAATGTCTTATTTGAACAAATCTAGATGCAGCTTTCATTATAAATTGACAAGATGGAACTAAACAGTTGCCCACTACTTTCTGATGTTAAGTGAATTTTTATGCGGTTAGTTTCTTTAATAAAAAACTATGTTCACTTAACAAGTCCGGTAAGCTTAGTTTATTGACAATGTAAAAATTTAACTGAAACTTCGTGTTAACACGTTTATGTAATACCTGATCAATTCAAAAATAAGTAAGTACGCTAAACTCAATAGTTTTATACCGAAACCTAATTGTGATATGCTAGTCAAATGTATTAATTTGTCTCAACTATTGGTCTTAACCTTATTATATGCATTAGAAGACAATGTATATTTCAGATAATAAGTTGTTTGCTTATTAAATAAGCAATGTAATTTCCGATTCATCTTTAGAGAATATAATTTATTTGTGATTAGATGGTGGTTGGAGGTAGTCGACAGGAAAACATGCACCCTGTTTTCTTGCTACTTGGCACTCGTCAGCAAGGTGTACCTGTAATCTTGAGGGAACTGGTGCTCCCTGAAAGATTCGATCCCATGTCACCCAGCTTCACAGCCAGAGACGTTACCACTGAGCTATCCGGCCCGCGACCGACTATTGTGCACACAATGTCAAGTCACCTAGACTGGTGGTCACATTGTATCATGGTCGACAGCATTCGATCTGCACTAATAAGGACTTGACACACATGACATTGATCACCACCCAGTGACCAATCAATTGGGAATTTATTTGTACCTATTTTATGTAAAGGTTTTATGAATTGCTATAATTGACAAGTAACACTCTGCACAGAAATAAAACTCTACGATTCAGTAAGTAGATCAATTAAAAAGAAATATGGGGGAGACTATAATTTATAGACGAACTAATCACATATAAGATAACAGGTCTCTGGTTTTGGCGCGAAATTCACTCATCCATTTGGCTAATTGGAGTTTTGGCATTATAGCTGATGTCAGTTCACGATGACAACCCTAAATCTACTTTCTACATTAATCATCAACTGCGAATCATAAATCTAATTCCTCACACATGTTTACAAGCCTTATTCGATCGTCATTATTAGGTAGATACTCTCAAGGTCAGTCTAACGTCGCTCAATTATCGTCCATAAATTATAGTCTCACCGAAATGTGTAAATAAAAAGTCAACTAGTTCATGATGAGTCGTTACAATCTTCAATAATCAAATATACAACTGACTCATATTATCACGAACTATTTGAAAGTCAGCAAAAATGAAAAGTGTAAACTTTCACAGAATAGCGTTTCGTAAATTATGTGTAATGGTATTATTATTCAGATTCGTCAAATTATTTGAAACAAGAATTATGTTTTCACGCGTATATTCGACTCGTCAGTAATTTTTGCACAAACTACCGTGTTTTCTATTTTTACAATAAGTTTCATCATAAATTGATGTTCCTTAGAAAGCTGTAGAACTACTGAATTTCACTAGGCAACCCAGTATTATTGTGTTTATTGTAAAACCTTAAATTACCACGTTCGGTTTCGTATAAGGTTATTTGTACCTACTACTGAAGAGTTTCCAAGTGATATGAAACAGCTGTCCAACACTCTATGATTTTCACTCTCTAGGTTATGTCTATTTATGACAGTTGCCTTAAATTTACTCAGAATCTTCACTTTAACTCTAGATATTGATTTTAAAAAAAACTCGTTAAGATCTAATAACAGTGATTAGTGAAACATTAAACATCAACATAAATAGCTTAGAGATATTCTTCGAAAGGAAATGATTAATAAGAAAGGGATCATTTTTGTTTAGCAAAAATACAAATGCATGCCGATTTAAAATGTATCCAGTTATAATGTTAATTTATTTTATAATTTAACCAAATAATTCAACTTAAATGGTACATTCTATATTCATACTATATTATATTGTTGACATATCATGATTATTTTATGTACAGATTTGGTACATATTATACATAATGCATAGGGATGTCATGCTACTATGCATGATGGACTAAATCCTGATAACTGAATAACTAGTTTTCGCTTCCTTACTGAGGATTATATGTTTATGTCTAGGTGTTTGTTAAAACCTGACAATTCACATATGTGTACTACATAAAAAATAAAAAAAGAATAGAACTACCATTCATATTATTAAGTAAACATTTGTTGATGAAAAAGAAAGATGATTGTGGGAAGGAAAAGGAAAATTTTCTAATGGCAATAATGATAATAATATATTTTCATACGTCATACACAATTGAATGTAAACAATGGTACATGGAACTAACTGCACCTTGGTAACTAATCTTTTTATTGGAATCTTAGATTTCTTAAAGAGACGAACATAGTTGATCTAATTTTTTTGTTTATATAAAAGACATGAAAAATAGTAATAATTGTATGCTAAATGCAATGTACAAACTGTTATTAGTTGTCAAGGGATCTAATTTCCTTGTGTAAGTCTGTGGTTTTAGATAGTAGGCATGCGAATTAGTAGAACTGATCATCTGTGAAAAGAAAAGTAGAAAAGATGAGAAGAAAAAGGGAAAAAACAAAACTTCATGTTGATTTTTATCACAATCTGAAGAAAATATATAATCAGTTATATTAATTCGCATTGTTTACATAATTGATGCACACGGTTAAATTGATGTTCATCATTACCTCCCAGGTGTAAGTATGGCTTGGGTTAGATAAGAATCTATTATTTAACTTCTTGTCAATATGTATTAATAATGATGATGACGATGATATTGATGATGATAATATGTTTGGAATAGGCAGCATGTCATAAACATAACAACTGATGAACTAGACATTTTAAATACAATACAAAATTGGTGTCTTAACAAAACATAATTTTTGAAAATTTTTTGGGCAATTCATGCTTGACTACTCTTTTGTTTTATTATTTATTTGCATTTTTGTGAATCACAAGGGTAATTGAAGTATTTACCAAATAGTCGGTAATATAGATCCTTGGTCTTTATTACTTGATTCGTCATCGTAATAACTATAGGATTTGGGGACGCTTTCACTATGCAATGTATTTAAATAGCAAAGAGATGTAAAAGTCACAATCAGAATATCACATATAATCAACAGTATAAGACCTTCTGATATTAATACCGACAGTGAATTGTTGATGCTAGCCTAATTTGTACTGTATATGTTGAATTCCTTCAACAGCAAGATCTGTCGGAATTTAAAAAAAAATCAATTACCTCTAGGATGCTGTATGAAGAAAGATGTTATCACTTAACTGCTTTCAGATACAAATATAATTCTTATGTGTACAAAGTATATTTATGAAATACTTACGAACACTTTATCACCGTATTATATATATTATATGATAAAGATTCACAGCACCAGTCGACAAGTTAATTACTTATCGTCAAGTAATTGTTAATATCAGAAATATTTTATATTAATTACTACGATAGAATGATACTCTAGAATTAATTTTACTGAAGTTGTCAACTATTATATTACTGAGAATTATGGAAATGACTAGTAAATAAATCGATGGATTGCGAAGATGTAACTAAAATAATAGCAAAAAGTTAAGAAAAGTATAACAGAAACAAAGTGCAAAATTATCATTAGAATAAGTAATTATTTAGCATGTTTCATAATTATTCACTATATAGTTTAATTACTTAGGGGAAGCATAGGATACAGTGGGCAGCTAGGATGCAGCTGGACGATCTAGACTTCGTAGATGACCTGGCTCTTCTATCGCATACGCAACAACAAATTCAGGAGAAGACGACCAGTGTAGCAGCAGCCTCAGCAGCAGTAGGTCTCAACATGCACAAAGGGAAAAGCAAGATTCTCCAATACAAAACGGCATGCAACAATCGAGTCACACTTGACAGAGAAGATTTGGAAGATGTAAAAACCTTTACATATTTGGGCAGCATCATTGATGAACAAGGTGGATCTGATGCAGATGTGAAAGCACAGATCGGAAAAGCAAGAGCAGCATATATACAATTGACGAACATCTGGAACTCAAAACAACTGTCAACCAATACCAAGGTCAGGATTTTCAATACAAATGTCAAGACAGTTCTACTGTATGGGGCGGAAACTTAGAGAACTACGAAATCCATCATCCAAAAGATACAGGTGTTTATTGACATTTGTCTACGCAAAATACTTCGGATCCGTTGGCCGGACACTATTACTAACAACCTACTGTGGGAAAGACAAACCAGATTCCAGTGGAGGAAGAAATTAGGAAGAAGCGCTGGAAGTGGATAGGACACACATTGAGGAAAGCACCCAACTGCTTCACAAGACAAGCCCTCACATGGAATCCTCATGGCCAAAGGTAAAGAGGAAGACCAAAGAACACATTACGCCGGGAAATGGAGACAGACATGAGAAGAATGAACAACAATTGGCTAGACCCAAAAAGGAAGGCCCTGGACAGAGTGGGTTTAAGAATGCTTGTCGACGGCCTATGCTCCATTGGGCGTAACAGGCGTGAGTAAAGTAAAAAAAGTAAAGTTTAATTACCACATACATATTAAATGTAGTTTATCTAATTTCCCTAAAACTAGTTATATAATAGAAAAAAATTGTTTCATTTGTTATACCTCAGTCAAAACAAATGACACTGACCTGTGAAATGTCAGAAATTTATATATTGTCACTTTTCAGTATATTCAATCCACCTAGTTCTCAATTCAAAACTGATTATGATATTCAAAAGGTTATTGGAGTTTATTTTTTGATTTCATATTAAAATATAACGTGAATACTTAATTTTTTCTTTATTTTCTCTTTCGTTTGATTCATAGAATTGGCTCTTTATCACCAAACTTTACATTGTCCAACTCCAGGATGTACCGGTCGAGGACATGTTAATAATAATCGTTCATCTCATAGAAGGTAAGCAAATTGTTAACAAGTTTATAAATAGATGCACATATATAAATTACTGATTATATTATAAACATATTATGAAGTAAATTATAAACGTTTTTTAGAGTTAAAAACTATAGCTTACTGAAAATTGCACATTCATGTCTATTTTAAGATGATCTTAGTAGAGTAGTTAACTATAGCATAACTGCCATTTAATACCAATCACACTGATTATTTATTTTAGAAAAAAAGCCGTCCTTAATGTCCATTTTAAATAATAATTCAACTCAATTTTGGAAAATAGACTATAAAGTTCAATTAATCCAACGCATTCCTAAAGATTCCCAAAATAGAATGAAACAACTGCCTAATGCTTTCAGGTTTACAATAGCTGTGAAACTCGGTTTGACTCATGATATCACTAACATTCTATGATCTCCGCAAATCTGCAAACTGATTTTTCTTTTTAATCATAAAACAGTATTAGAACCTTTTGATTTAAAATTTCAAGATTTTCTGTCATTACTTTGGTTATTAAATGTTTCAATTTCATTACTGTCAGAAGAATATCAGGATTGCATTCATTAACAGTATTTAAACTCATCAAAGTTGTAGTGCATTAATTATAAAAGGCATAGTTTTAATGAAATTTTTCAAAGATGATTATTTATTCATATTTACATTTAACTTTAGTTTATTTACCGCGTTATTTTTCTTAATTGTAAACGAAATCATAGTAACAATAATAAAACGTGTAAGCAAAATCGGAATCTTGTATAAATAGGTAAGATGGATATTAGTCTAATTATAGACATTTTAATGTTATCATATTAAACATTCAAAGTAAAATATAACTAATTATTAGATAAATATCCTGTAGTTCTAAATGTAGAATCTTGATCTTTTTTCTTTTCAAAACAATCAAAAGTAATGATAGCTAGTTAACTGTTCGTCATGTGTAATCATTTCATCACATAGCCAATAACCAAAAGTTCAGTTATATGGACCATTTAATGTATTGACTTATTGGCTGAATATTATATTTACCATTAATAAGATATCAAGGTTCTTCGTTTCGTTCGTATGAGTGCATTGATAAACATTTTAAACTAGGATCATACAGTGTAATGAACCCTGAACATTTTAATTATGATCTACACACATTATCATATAAATTGAGTGTACAACATCATTTTTTGTAAGATTTTAAATATTGAATCCATATTACCGTTAAAACAAACGTCTAATTATTTAGATTTGAATATGGAGCTTACATTATATAATCATTAAAAAGTCTTGTAACTTTATATTTTATCGTATAGTGTTAGTGAATCTGTAATTTATTAAAACAAAGAAAAATGTCCATCTTTTTTTGTTGTTGTATCAATATAAATAATTCAGTTTACTTTATTCACTTTTATACTCAACATATTCAAATATGATTCAGATTATATGTTAAATAAAGTGATATTCAAGCCCTAGAGATAGATTTATTTCCCTTGTGTACAAGTCTTCATATATGTTCACGTATAACATATATATAACCTGTTAGATTAAACAAGTAACTTAAATAAAGACAAGTATATCATACTTTGCTGTTATTTCATATCTCAAAAAGAAAAAAATATATAACCATGTGAGTAGAATTTGAATGAGAATCAATTTCCACTCCCCTTTCTCATTTATATGTTTATATATCTTTTTCATAATTTATAAACTGTCAGTAAGATAATATCATAAAAGAGTAGCAATACACATTGTGTTGCGTCATTTATAACATTATATACATACATATAATGTTTTAGCAAGAGAACTTATAAAATTTTGTGTTATTGTGTATCATAAAGCCAACTATTATATATATATACACTTGAAAAGAAGACATGAGTTAGATACTCAAAGGAAATGAGAGTTTCTTTTTCAAACCAAAGTCAAATTAACTCAAATTTGATACGAAAGAAAGAAAAAGATACTCTGTTCATTCTCTCATTCTCTAATTTTGATGATATAATCCCAAAGGATTAGAGTTGTTAAAATCAAACAAACATTTTCAGTTGTATAATGAATTAGTTTTATATATGTAATTAAAAGGAATATGGTTTTGTGAATAAGTTTTACAGCTTTAGAATAATATAAAGACTGAACGAACATATATTACTTAAATAATATATTTATTAATTATCTCATTTTAATAAAGATTATTCTCATTGTTCGTTTGCTAATTTCAATTAAATCATTTATATTAAATGGATTTAGTTAATATTTTGATTATATGATAATAATTCACAAAGACTGAAAAGAAAGTAGCTTAAATAAAAAGTATACATTCTATCCATAAGTAGTTTTCGTAAAGGATAAATTCATGAGTATTGTAGTGAACGAGAATACAAAAAGGCGAATATTTTAGTAAAATCTGAGAATTATACAGGAAATACTTCATTTGTAAAATGTCAATCAATTATCTTGAATTTGACTATATCTTCTGTAAAATGTTAATCAATCGTCTCAGATTTCATTGTGTTTTTTTTGTTTCCACACTGATCATTCTTTGTTCTCGTTCGCCTTACTTTGATCATCTTAATCTTATGATTTCAGATATTTCATTTTCTATTGATGATACATACTATTTATGTCTGTCGACATTATCGGCACACACCACAGTATGAATGCTCTAGTTACCAATAAGGATTGAACTAGTCTATATAAAAGAAGATGGATGATAATGAACTTTACAATAATAGTATACCATATATATGTATTTTATAATCTCCGAACATTTTAACAGTAATTAAGTATCTACGTTAGAATACAATATCGATGGTAAATCTGTTTATATATTGTTCTATTAGGTTGACACAACAAGCTTTTATAGTTCAATAGATAACTCGGCGTTTTAATTAATACTGAGATTCCTGCTTTTACTTACAAAATACTAAATCAAACGATGCAATTTTGCCTGTAAACTAAAATTTCGTTTTAACTCACACCATAATTACTTAGTAATTGTTGACTAGATTGTAGTGAATTTTGTACAGATTTTAATTATCAAACTTTACAAACTAATCATCATGCTAATATTGTCAGTACAACCCATATCAAGGTTTATTATAAGTGAAAATATCCATAATCAGGAATTTTAGTTATGTTTTTGTTATAGAAATTCTAAGTTAGTCAATGTCCTAAATAATTTTTCGTAGAATGTTATCTACATCCATTATATACACTTAAATATACATAAAGGTAAGTCGTTTATATTATTAACGGAGGTCGTTTTCTTGTTACTAATGAGTTATTGATTAGTAACTAATTTCACGTGTTCCATCATCTAGAATTTGTTAAATCTTACTGATAACACTTGTAAACTAGCTACCATATTGACTAGGTGTCCGCTCTATCTTCATCACTGAATGATTAAGGTTCGGACAGCTAGAAGAGCGTTAGTTTCATTAGTATTGCAGATTTCCTTTGTTAATATGAGCTAACCTGTAAGAAGCCCAGCTCTAATGTCTCCTATATTGGATACATGATGAAATAAGTAATGTAGTGATAACAGTAGAAAGCAGCAACGCAAATTGCATTTTTAAATACACAAAATACAACCTATCTGAGATCACTTGACTTGTTTTACGCAGGTTTAAAATTTTTAGATAGGTTTCGTTTGGGACATGTGGCTTAGCTAGTTTGAGAACATGGAATCCAGTTGATTTAAATCATAGGTCTATTCTTGATCAGTATTTTCGAAACCTTGTAAATTAAATAATCATACATTTTCACCCGTTACAATAATTAATCCTGAAACCACATTTGATCTTCCATTTTACAAATATATATCCTCTAATTTCTGAATGGTAAATGGCCACCAATAAATTTCTCACTAACCTGTACTTTTATAAGGCTTAGCTACTATATGTATGTGGAATAGGTTATACCACTTATGTTGCACAAAGTCTAATTATATAACTCTATACAAATATTTAAACCTAGTTTTCATGATTTTTTTATTTCATTTGCCAATCACTAAGTTACAAAATGTAGTTTTTTGATTTAGTTTACTTATCGAGAATCCTTAATTTTTCAGAATAAACGGATCATAAATAACGTTGTAATCACGGAAGCATATATTGTCCCGTTTATGACTCGTCAGATGGAAATACGTGTATATCTGTGATGATATTCACGTCTGGACTTGAATATAGTCCAATTTACTTCAAACACAAACGCTTTATCTGCTGAGCCGCTGAGTTCATTTAGCCAGCAACTTGTTCAACTTCTACGATGTTTATATAATTTTCATTTATATATGTGGAGGTAATGAGGGCAGATTCACAATGTGAACTAAGTTTATTCAAGATTTATTCAGGAATATCAACAGCCCTATTATTCATACTCCTACTAATAATGATAGAAACATCATCACGAAATCTGTAGCTCTGTAGAGATTGTGCTAGGTGTTTAAAGCCAAACATAATGAATCGAAATCTCATTATAAACATCAATAATAGTATATAGATATCTCATAAACGTGACTCTTATTTTCAGTCGGCGAAATCAGTATATTTTAATATGACTTTTTAAAATTCTACTGCTATTTTCCATTGCCTTCCACAGTAAACCACTTTCAAGTTTACCGTAACATATATTTTGATAGTGTAATAATCTTTATTAAACAATGATTAATTGGCCGACAATAAGTATTACTAGATAACTACTTTCATGACACATCATTCGTGTCGAGTAGTTTTTTTAAGGACTTAGTAGCTAAGTGGATAACGCGATGGCGTTTGTAGAGAACGGTACTGGGTTCGAGTCTCAAAGTGAACTTCAACTCAGATGAAGTCACATCCAGCTAACGAGTCCCAAATATGACGAAACGCATGTCCTGGATTCCACTCCTAGCCACTTTAGTTTTTTTTCAGTTCTATATCTATAACTGTATCAACTGTCACTCTCATTTATGATAGCTTATTCACTAAGAGTATCAGATACACACTTCAATATTTTCCTGTGTATATTTTTTAATATGTTGATATTTTGATTGATTTATAATAGTTTTTCTGGTTGTCCTCTTGCAAGTCGAAATCGAAGCAGACAATCAAAGCGGCCATTATCACCGCAAAGTGAGTCAATATTTTCTTTATGTAGACAGTTTTACTATTTTAATATTGAAATTTTGAAATTTAAAGATCAAAACATGATTTTTATACGAAGTAAATGAGGAATTGATATATCAGTGAAATAATTATCGATCAACAATCTTTAATTTGAACTACGTTTTACGGAAGTAGATAACAGCAATACATGGGACAGAATTATTGTCCTAATCAACAGTTAAATTCTTTTCAGATTAGAATAAAGTTAGTGTTTAAGGATCCAAGTTATATAATACTGGTTTCCTTGTGAAATTACAGACTTTATTCGCTTTACCGAATCTGAACTGTGTAGATAAAAGTTTTTTAATACAACAGAATGTTTATTTCAATGTTACTTTAGATACCAAATCCAAAAGTTGTATAGATTATTGCATGTAGCCTTGAAATTTGGGAGATTCTAAAAAAACAGTAATGGTTTGTAATTGATCAGGCAGATTAGAAAACATCAGTACGTCCATTTCTAAAATAAATCAAAAACACTAAACAGTCAGAGGTGTTACAGGAGGTTTTTGGTTTTATATACGAACAATAAAACAGTTAGTAAACCTATGAAAACGTAGTCTCCATTTGTAACGATCAACAAAAGTATCCAATGTTCAATAGGTCTCTTCGCGTCATAATTATTAAATGGGATACTTTGATAACCAGTATCTTCAGACAGTATTTACAAGATTAAATAAAACCACAAATCTTTTCTTATCTAAGACAGATATTGTCGGTATAACACTGATTTACAGTTTATTGTAAAGGATCTGAAGGCAAGGATCGATAAAGAAAGGGCAGCATCTCTAAAATTTAAAAAAACATATGAAATTCAAAACAACTGTCAACCAACATCTAAGTCACAACCATCAATATGAACGTCGAAACAGTTCTACTGTATGGAGCTGGAACTTCAAGAACTAATGCAACCATCATCATCAAAATAGTACAAGTACTTATAAACTATTGTTCACGCAAGATATTCAGTGTCCTTTGATTGGATACAATCAACAACAGCTTGCTGCGGACGGGAACAAATCAGCTTCCAAATGAATAGAAAATTACGAAAAGACGATGGAAGTGGACAGGACATACATTACAGAAATCACCAATCTGTATCACAAGTCAAGCGTTAACTTGGATTCCTGAAGGAAAGGAAAGCAAATGAAAGAGGAAGACCAAAGAACACACTGAAACGGGAATCGGAGGCAGACATCACACGAATGAATAGAAATTTGGAACAACTGGAAAGGATTGCATAGGACAGATTTCGATGTTGAATGCTGGTGAATGGCCTATTCTTCTTCACGAGAGGTAACAGATGTAATTACTTAAGTAATTAAGTGAGTAAGTAAGTGAGTGAGTGAGTGAGTAGGTAAGTAAGTAAGTAAGTAAAGGTACTTATTTAAAATGCTAGGCATCAATTCATAATCTTTAATTGTTAGATGTACTTTGTTTTCAAGAGTGAATATCTCGATTTTATCTAAAAGAAAAAATCATTTCACAGTATTTCAGTGTTATTTCATCTTTTTATTATTTATTTCTTCTGATAAAGAAATTGAAACACGTCATAAATCAAATCACTTTGGAGCAAATCATGAAAGTAGTAATACATCATTTAATAAAAAATTTTGCCAATCAAATAGTTTAAATAGTAAATTAAATCCATGTCATTCATCACATTCAACATTATCCACATCATCGTTACCATTAACTGATTTCATGAAACAATCACAACAGTTTCAAGGAATACCTTCAACAGATTTATTTGCAAACATTCCTCTTGAAAATATGAATCATACTGAATCAACAAATTCAAATCATTTAATTCATGAATTCTCTGATTCGTTTTCTAAATCAATTTATAACTTATTACCTAATCTTATAAATACGCCCAGTTTTCAAATTTATTAAACTGTTCAACTACAATGACTAATAATGACAGTAATATGGTTAATTTATATCATAATTCACAAACTCTCTATCCCATGTTTAATTCATCTTCATTCATTAATAATAATAATAATAATGATTCAAATGTGAAAGATTCCTTACCATTATCAAATATTTTAGAAAAATCCACTTCATATAATTTAAATTTACCACAATATGATATATTTCAACATTCATTCATATATCATAATCCATACAAGGGTAAACATTTAATACCAACAAAATTAATGGATACTAATCATAATATTATTAATAATAATGTAACATCTGAGAAATCAACTATATTATCACAAATTAATTATGGATTAGAAAATGTTTTAATTAATGATCATCATTTCTTGATAAATCAATATTCACCAACATCATCGTCATCATCGTCGTCAACAACAACATCATCACCACCAACAACAACATCATTATCATCATCATCATCAATGTATCATTCATGTACTGATTTAAACAAAAATTATTCAACATCTAATTCTATATGTATTGAAAATAAATTAGAATATCCGATAGATTTATCTGTACATTCAAAGAATCAATTAGAAAATAATGATAAAATGTAATTATTACGTAGTATATTTTTATTAGTATTATTATTATTATCTGCTCACTAATGACTGACTTCAAGAGGCATTTCCATGAGTTCTAGTGAGAAGCCATGACCAATAGAGTTCAACCAGATCTGTTGTGAGATACTAACTCACTGATGACAATGGTGGACGGTGGTGTAATTTCGTGGATTGGTTGAAGATAGACATTAACGCCGTTGAATGCTGGCTAGTTCAGTGATTAAGAGGTTAACTGTTCATGATCAAGACCAATAGGTCATGAGCTCGGATCCATTTGGTGAGAATATGGATGCGCGTTGCTGAGGAGTTCCACACTAGGAACAAACGGCCGTCCAGTGCTCCAACGTTTTCCATGGTGATTTAGCTTTTATTAACTCACGAATTCAACTATAAAAGTATATTAAATAGTTTGATAAGTGCTATCTTAGGACTAAATAAATTATATCAAACTGTTATATAATCACAAAAATATGAACAAGAAATAATACTTCAGGATCCTAGTATCATTTTGTCTATATTAACAAATCTGGTTGCGAAATTAGCTCTGTTTATTAATTAAATGGAAGGACTAAATAAAGAAACATTATATGATTTAACATAAATATCATATGAAGTACATACATGATTCAGGACAATCCAGTTTGTTTCTCAACGGTTCTTAAACTAATAATACTTCTTGACGAAGTCGCTCCGATATTTCGACGAAATTATTTCTAAATAAGCGTCGGTCTAGTTACAAGGTGTTAGCTTGTATTTCCAGTTTTTTATTTCAGAAATGAACAGTTTAAAGAATTCTCATACGTTTCTATTCAGAACTGTTCGTCATAAAGTAAGGAATTTAATGAGTAGGATACTTTATAATCTGTAAATATTTTGAAAGACAAAATTAATGAAATTGTAACTTCGGATTGTAATTGTTTGTATATGATTTACTTTCTATAACGGCATTTTGCTCAAATTTAGACAGAATCGTATAAGACCAGCTTTAAAGGTTGCTAATGAGTTTGAAATGAATGCATATAATTGAGCACAATTCCCATGCATACGTCTTCCTACTCATATTTTACTTTGGAAGTCCGTCTTACAATCAGTTGATCATGTTTCTTCCAATGTGATCAAGAGAAGTACATGAGATGCAACTGAATTCTCTACTCGTACGCTAATCAATTACATCAATATACACACGAATGCATTTGAATATTGTAGTGGCTTCCTCTTTAGTTTGAATAACTGGTTAATTAATGTAAATATGTGACTTAAAGCTGAGTAAATAATAGTGTGTAACTGACTGATGTTATATTGAAACGATTCAGTCCTTCTTGATTATACAACTTTCTTCCATATATTGTTAACTAAATTGTATTTATTAATTATTTATCCGTTTTGTTCATTCTCATCACTAGCGATAATGTGTCAACGGATAAAATAATTGGTCGATCATTTGAAATTGGTAATCTATGCCCGGAATTACATGAATCTAAAAAAGAAGTAAAGAATTTATCTTCAACTATGAAATTAATGAATCCAAACAACACTAATACCATAGCTACTTCTTATCCCTCTACTATTCACAGTTTTACAGATATGCATTATTCAAAAAATTTATCTCTAAACTCCAATAGTTTTCTAGGTGGAGCTTTATCATCAGTCGATGTGCTTTCAAATAAAAAACATATTTATGCAAACAAAAAGCATTCTACTAACATGGGATGTTTAAATCTATTACAAGGAAGGTCAGATTTCGAAGCAGCAAACGTTCTTTTTGCATTCAACTAGGAATTTATGAGAGATATACATAAAACCACAAGATTTTCACTTCCAATAATAATAAAACGAAGGTAACAGAAATCACAGTACTTTTCACAAACTTACCATATTTCAAATATATACTTTTAGCATTAGATTGATAGGAAATCAGATATAGCGTACATGTATACCAAGTTATTTGGCTTCATGGACATATAGTGTATGTAAAAAGAAGACATTATTGATATAATCACTTAGCTTATTGTTCTAATTGGTTGATGATGATTAATTTGTAACTTAGAGCGTGTATTCGTTGTGCTAATAATTTTTGCTGCATATTTCATAAATGAAATTTCATAGCTGTTCTTGTTTCAGATATATGATTTCTGGGAATTAAAGAAACATTACTTTTGCCATTCACTCCTAGAATTGCTTGAAGGGGCAATAAAAACTAGTAGCCTACAAATAAATACCTCAAATTATCGTAATATACTTAGGATTTTCTCGTGGCTGTTTGAAATACATTTTAGTAGTGTAAGATCTCTCATTGAAGATGAATTAATCACTAGAATTAGAAGCTAATAAAACTACTGTCTTATTATTCACTGATATATCAATAAGAGACTTACCATTTATCCTTATGAAAAAAACAGACAGTTATCGGTAATTTCTGAGTAGTTCAAGTATTCTTTGTCTATTGTAGTTAAATTTTCAGTATCTGAGTTTTCTTTTTTCTGGAAGTAAAAAGAAGTTGAATATTAACTTTCTCAATTTGATGAATGAAACCTAACCTTTACTTCCTTCAAACTGGATAATGGAAGATTTATTTTTTTACTTTTCAGTCATATATATTCACCCTGCATTTAATGAATGCGTGCCGTAATATGGTCCTTTATTACTTCAACCGACAAATCGATTTGAGGTTAATCCCATTTGCTTAACCAAAATTATTTCAATCTACAATTTATACTACTAACAATGCTTATCAACAGTTAAGTATTGAAATAGAAATTCAGAAGATATCCATAGTTTCAAATTAACTTGGAATATATGTGTTAGACTAGTTTCGATATCTTTAATCATTGTATTGTACAGACACTTTACTATTTAACCTATTTACTAAAGTTTTAAAGGTACAAACAGTTTTGATCGTCACTTTCTGTGTTACTTCACTAGTGGAAGCTATAGAATGACAAAAAATATTTTAAATTGGATTGAATAAAAACCAAACAGTCGACTTGATAACGATTACACTTTTTTGAATTTTTATTTAACCATATAAATTTCTTCAGTAATTACTGACTTTAATTCGTCACTATTTTGCACTTCAATCTCTTGTAGGAGTGCGTCAAATTTGTTTTCTGCTTCGAAATATCGATCTATAATTAAAAGGGAAGTTAGCTGAATTTTATAATTCATAAGTTAAGGTTATGAGCTAAAGAAAAATAAGAACTTCGATCTTCACTTAGTTTCACAATTTAAATCAATAATTGAAGATATGGTTCTTATACCTCACTTTTCAATAGAATAGAGAATACCATCAGCTTTCATTACATTTTTTGTACTAAGGTGTTATTCTTGGAAAATGTGAAAATTGTCTGACATCAAATAAGTAATAATATTTATAGATGCTTGAATTCTCAACATCACTACAAGTCTTGGATTAACTTAGATCACGTATATGTATCCATACCATTTATATGGATATAATAGCTTATAAAATAATGAGGAAAATGTGTAGTACGAAAAGACACCGTGGGTGATGGATTTTTGATTCTGAATGATTAAATTGATGAGCCTTCACCCTGAATATGCTGTTAGACTCTAATTAAGGAAGTTTTTTTAAAACATCTCTGTTGAGTTAGTCAAATTGTGCTTTCAGGTAAAGTATTATGTTAATTTTAAATGCTATAAATCATATAACCCTATTATAGAATCTGAAAACAAATTAAATACTTTTATTGCGCATGAAAATGTCATTTTTCTCACATTTTCTTCTTGTTGATAAGCATCAGAATAAGGTATTCTCATCAGAATCCAGTGTTAATACAATCCACAAGAATTGGACCTAACATTCAGGACTTAAATTGTTTGGATAGTAAGTGGCCTACAAGCTTATTTCCTCTAATGGCTTATGACATTGTATCGTTTATTATGTGTTACTTTTGTGAATATGTATGGCATTTCGTTAGATAAAAGAAATTATTCTTCTGGCTAATGTATTTGTTCTTGGTTTTAAAACGATTGGGCTCTCGCGTCAACAAAGTGGTCTCGTAAACAACCACTACTCAACCAATTGCATATTATTTACCAATCAGCATCCTATTCATTGCTTTCAGTAATCCAAAATTCGCTTCATGAAATTGTAAAATCATACTCTGTAACAAAATCATTGTTGGAATAGATAGTAGTGTCAGACTTAAATGTTACCTACTACTGCAGTGGACAAGAACTCAGTTGGAAAAAGCCAATCAGTAAAATATGAAAAACGAACATTAAATACATAATTTGCACATCCTCTTCGTGTTTTCCTTTAAATACTTCATTATTCCTCTAATTCTGTCATTATTTTGATTTCAGTCCGGTTTCCTTCCTGTTTCCCTTATTTCGATTTTCTGCTGCTAGGCATTCCACCTCCGATTTCTGCTACATACTACTTATATTTGACAGCATACGTAGCATACACCGTACTATATTGTTCATCAAATAAAAAGTTACTGATGGTCTATTGGAAGGTTTTATGGGCAAGCCCGGTCACCTCCTTCAGCATCTGTTTGGTTATGTTTGCTCAGTTCCAAGTTCATATATTTAACAGAGATTTCATTCAACCACGTCTTTAGAATATCCTATTCATTAGTGACCACAGTAACCATAATTCCTTGCTATCTCCAGATACTTCTGAATCCTATATTAAATTTTGTACTTTATTCTAAACCGGGTATATCTCATAGTCATTACCCTGAAAATTATCATCTATGTAATCCTGGTTGATAAGTTGGTGTCTGGATAAATCTATCTTCAATGAATCCATTTAAGTGAAAAGTACTGTAATTGAGATTTATTTTTACTTCCCACCAACTTCTTTTTAACTACAATTATATCAACAAAGCTGAAGCTGTTGATCGAAACAAAGCTCAAAATAAATGACATTGTATTACTATTCGAAGTGCCCCATAATCGTTTCTCTGCGTAGTTCATTACATGATTTATTTCAAGTTCAAATATCAATACATACCTCGATACTATTCAACTATTCTTAATGCTATCGCATGGTGATATAAATATTTGGAAAATCATATATACATGAGTCCTGAAATAATCTGATTATCATTTCTAGATATTTTAACAGATTGATAGGCTCCATCACCCATGCAAAGAACAAAATTTGGCCAAGTGATTTAGCTTTTTTTAAACACAACTTGTAAAGATAGTCACTGATTTGAGAGTTTCGGCAAGAAAAAGGTTTAGATGAATAAGTGTTATTAAAAAAGGTTGAAAGTTATTTACAACGTTACCACATCAAGGATGTTTTCATATAGGTTAGTATCACCGGTATCAATATTGTATTTACAAAATAAAAGATTGAGATGGAACTTTCAGATTATTATTCTCATTGTTAAGGTCGGGTAACAATCACACATAGATCACGCACTATAGGGGATGGCCAAATTAATAATAACAGCATCAGATTGAAACAGATGAAAAACAGTGTTTTTTAACTACACTTCAAAGAGTCTTCCATATATGGAGATCGGATTGATCACTACCCAGTGATCAATCAATTGTGACTAGTCTTCTACATACCTTTGGAAATTCAATTGTCATCTATGTAACCAGTATTAGAAGATTTGGAAATGCATAACTCTGATTTTATTGACCTTTCACACATGCTTATTCATAAATAATTTAGTTACAAACGCTAATCTTTAGATTAAAACACATTAACATAACAAAAACACATACGTAGTTACGTAACATTTCAATTGGATTACTTTAATTCTTCGATTATGAAAACAAATCTTACTTCTATATGAGTTTGACAATTAACGATTTTAATTTAAATACTTTAAAACTATAAATCCTGTTGATAAATTCAGGTAGTACAATTATTAGATGAGGTTAATCAGAGCAGCATGGTATGTTAACACTGTGTATATTGGTTTATTAAGATATTTACGTGAGAAATAAAGGCTGAACTAGGTAATCGAGAACATAAGTAAAACCTAAGATAGTAAGTAAAAATATTTTTAATTCCAACAAGCTGATTATTAAAATTAAATCATTTTTTTACCAGAACAGATTTATTGTAAATACAAACTACTTTTGAATATGTAAGGGTGTTAAGCTTGTCTTACAGTGTTCCTACTTGCTCCCTTTTCACTCCTTTGTATATTGTTTTATACTACTTATTTATATTCAGTAAGCAGTTGTATTCCCAACAATGTTTACACTTATGTTGTAACGCAAGTTGTAGTGTAATATTCTGAAATGTTCACATATATTTATAACGTTTATTGTACTTATCATTGTACTTATCATTATAATCACTGTACCTTAATCGCTGTACCGGTTATCCACAGTTTTGTGCATTTGTTTAAACGCAACAGTTTCCATATTGTTTTACTCTTGGTTCGGGTTTCGATTGTTCATAAACTGTTATCAAATTTAGACACACCTATTAGCTGTCTTTTGTACTATCGTATGTTGTAGTTATTGTTTATGTTACTGTTACGGGAAACCTTTTTATTTCATACTTGAAGGGCGCGTTTAAACACCCCAGACACCTCACAAGTTGAGGTTTGTAACTAAATTTTGTGTATTAATCAATAAAGAACCGCTATTATAGACAAATCGTTGTTTTGTAAGCTTCGGCTTTGCGCGTATCTCAATCGGGTGACTTGGACGCTTTGATAGATCTAACAGAGGGTAAATTGAATTTTAATAGTGGTTAGTGCATGTGCGGATCTAACTGTTCACATTAGACCAATTTTACAAAGCACCACATACTATTAATTTCAATCGTTACAACA